CGGCAGATCTTCAACCGCAGATGCATTCGGCAACAGTCGCAAAGCCGGACTGGTGAAGAGCAGCATCATCATATTATGATGATGTTTCTCCTAACCAGTCCGGCTTCCCGAGTAGCGGTTGAGAGCATGCCGAGCTTGCACACGCTCTCCTGCAGCCCGTGTCTGGGAACAGGCAAACAGGCAAAGAGTGTTAGTCTCCAGCAACCTTTTAGAAACTGTCAGACCAATCCGGCTGGACTACAGACAACTTGCAAGTCAACTCTACAAGCCCGTGGCACGCATATCCTCTGGGCCCCCTGGGCCTGGAAGCCTCGCATATGACTGATGACTAATGATGATGATGGTGATGATGATGTTGCGGCCCATGAACCTTGAACGGGCCTGGGAACCTGATGACATTGATGACTGATGATGGTGATGATGATGTTGTGGCCCATGAACCTTGAACGGGCCTGGGAACCTGATGACATTGATGACAGATGATGACGATGAGGACTCCACGGGGCATGCTTATTAAATTTATCTAAATTTATTATTGTAGCCTCGATGATGACTGTCATGCCACGGCACAGGTCTCAGCCCAGCTATTCTACCTGGGAGCCTGGGAACCTAGGAACCGAACCTTTCCCGAGCCTCGTGATGATTGTCATGTCACGGCACATGTCTCAGCCCAGCCAGGGAGGGAGTCTTGCGGCAGATCTTCAGCCGCAGATGAATTCGGCAACAGTCGCGAAGCCGGACTGGGTAGGAGAAACTTAATTAATTTCATTTGCGATTGCCGAGCTGAACCTGGAAGCCGATACGACACGGGCTGAAGGAGAACATGCCGAGCTTCGACACGCTCTCCTGCAGCCCGTGTCTGGGAACAGGCAAACAGGCAAAGAGTGTTAGAACCCAGCAACCTTGTGAAACCTTCAACTCTCAGACCAATCCGGCTGGACTACAACTTGCAAGTCAACTCTACGAGCCCGTGGCACGCATATCCTCTGGGCCCTCTGGGCCTGGAAACCTCGACTGATGACTGAAGATGATGATGGTGCTGGTGATGATGATGTTGCGGCCCATGAACATTGAACGGGCCTGGGAACCTGATGACATTGATGACTGATGATGGTGATGATGATGTTGCGGCCCATGAACCTTGAACGGGCCTGGGAACCTGATGACATTGATGACAGATGATGACGATGAGGACTCCACGGAACATGCTTCAAAATTCACGATTAAATTTTTATTATTATATTTTATCAGCCCAGGGAGCTGGGTTGCCAGCGGAGCAATTCAAAGTTCTGTCGAACACAGACTCCCTGACTGAGGGTAACAGACTGAGCCTGGCAACCCAACGAACTATTCTACCTGGGAGCCTGGGAACCTAGGAACCGAACCTTACCCGAGCCTTGTGATGATTGTCATGTCACGGCACATGTCTCAGCCCAGCCAGGGAGTCTTGCGGCAGATCTTCAGCCGCAGATGAATTCGGCAACAGTCGCGAAGCCGGACTGGTTAGGAGAAACTTAATAATTTCATTTGCGGTTGCCGCGCTGAACCTGGAAGCCGATACCACACAGGCATGCAGGAGAGCATGTCGATTCGACACGCTCTCCTAGCCCGTGTGGGAACAGGCAAACAGGCAAAGAGTGTTAGAACCCAGCAACCTTGTGAAACCTTCAACTCTCAGACCAATCCGGCTGGACTACAACTTGCAAGTCAACTCTACAAGCCCGTGGCACGCATATCCTCTGGGCCCTCTGGGCCTGGAAACCTCGACTGATGACTGAAGATGATGATGGTGTTGGTGATGATGATGTTGCGGCCCATGAACCTTGAACGGGCCTGGGAACCTGATGACATTGATGACTGATGATGGTGATGATGATGTTGCGGCCCATGAACCTTGAACGGGCCTGGGAACCTGATGACATTGATGACAGATGATGACGATGAGGACTCCACGGAACCATTATTATATTTTATCAGCCCAGGGAGCTGGGTTGCCAGCGGAGCAATTCAAAGTTCTGCCGAACACAGACTCCCTGACTGAGGGTAACAGACTGAGCTTGGCAACCCAACGAACTATTCTACCTGGGAGCCTGGGAACCTAGGAACCGAACCTTTCCCGAGCCTCGTGATGATTGTCATGTAACGGCACATGTCTCGGCCCAGCCAGGGGGGGAGTCTTGCGGCAGATCTTCAGCCGCAGATGAATTCGGCAACAGTCGCGAAGCCGGACTGGTTAGGAAAACTTATTTTAGCCGAGCTGAACCTGGAAGCCGATACCACACGGGCACGGCATGCAGGAGAACACCTCGAGCTTCGACACGCTCTCCTGCATGCCCGTGAACCTGGGACGGCGCGGAAGCGGCAGAATCTCTGCCGCTTCCACACTGTTTTTCTCCAGAAATTGTGACACCTAAAACTCTCACACCAATCCGGCTGGACTACAACTTGCAAGTCAACTCTACAAGCCCGTGGCACGCATATCCTCTGGGCCCTCTGGGCCTGGAAGCCTCGCATATGACTCAGATGACTGATGATGATGATGATGATGGTGATGATGATGTTGCGGCCCATGAACCTTGAACAAGCCTCGGAACCTGATGACATTGATGACAGATGATGACGATGAGGACTCCACGGGGCATGCTTAATTTTCCAAGCCGTTGAGCCTGGACCTGCAATTGATGTTCCGCGTGCACGCCGTGCATTCCCCGCAGCATCAATTCGAACCAGGTGTTTCCAGTGGAAACCCCTGGTTCGATTGATGCTGCGTGTGGCGCCTGGGGCCTGAAGTCTGTTGCTGCTCTGTTGCATGCACCGGCAGTGAACATCCACGGAACGGCCACCGGCAAGGTTTCCATGTCCCCAGACTCCCTGAGCGACTCTGCCACGGTCATCTGTCCGCCCTTAAAGGGTGGACAGATGACGGTGGCAGAGGCGAACCCAGGCGAACAACCATGGAGCCTGGCAGCAACCTTAAAATCTTAAATATTGGGAGCCTGGGAGCCTGGGAACCTATGACTAGGAACCAGTCTCAGCAACTCAGGCCACAAAGTCGGAGCGTCGGCTGGCGCCGGTGTGGGCACCAAAGCAGCCTGGCAACACGGGGAGCGACTGGGTTGCCTATCAGCAGTGACAGTGAAATTACATCATCCAGGGTCCTTTTAGGTGGGATGTTGGGCACCCACGAAGCAACCCTTCAATGCATAGAAAAGACCCTTCAATGCAACTTTTTTGAGAATCAGCGCGTTCAAGGGTCACAAGGTTGCATCCAAGGGTCCCTCAAAGACTAAGGTGCTGCTGGATGTTGGCTGGGCACCCACGATAAAACCCTTCAATGCATCCAAAAGACCCTTCAATGCACCTCTCTTAAGAATCAGCGTGTTCAAGGGTCAAAAGGTTGCATCCAAGGGTCCCTCAAAGATGCTGCTGGATGTTGGGCACCCACGATAAAATTCCTTCAATGCAACTTTTTTTGAGAATCAGCGCGTTCAAGGGTCACAAGGTAGCATCCAAGGGTCCCTCAAAGATGCTGGATGTTGGGCACCCACGATACAACCCTTCAATGCATCGAAAAGACCCTTCAATGCACCTCTCTTAAGAATCAGCGCGTTCAAGGGTCAAAAGGTTGCATCCAAGGGTCCCTCAAAGATGGCTGGATGTTGGGCATCCACGAAGCAACCCTTCAATGCTTCCGGGGTTAGGGTTTAAGGTTTAGGGTTTAGGGGTTTAGGGTTTAGGCTGGTTTAGGGTTTAGGGTAAAAGACCATTTCAATGTACCTTTTTGGAGATTCAGCGCATTCAAGGGTCACAAGGTTGCATCCAAGGGTCCCTCAAAGATGCTGGATGTTGGACACCCACGAAGCAACCCTTCAATGCATCGAAAAGACCCTTCAATGCACCTTCTCGGAGATTCAGCGCATTCAAGGGTCACAAGGTTGCATCCAAGGGTCGCTCAAAGATGCTGGATGTTAGTAGGCATCCACGAAGCAACCCTTCAAGGCATCCAAAAGACCCTTTAATGCACATGTTTTAAGAATCAACGCAGTCAAGGGTCACAAGGTTGCAGCCAAGGGTCGCTGACTGTCAAGCCATTATGACCGCCATGTACCAGACCCTGCACTCAATCAAGTCAGGCTGGCCAGACGGATGTCGAGATTTCGGGCGCCAACTGCAGCAACACCACTTCCTTGCCATTGTCAGTACAAATACCCTTTAACTTCAGCAGAAGTTTCAATAGACCAATTGCATCCAAGGGTCTTTTTAAGCGGAATGTTGGGTACCCACGAAGCAACCCTTCAATGCATCAACAAGACCCTTCAATGCACCTTTTTTGAGAATCAGCGCGTTCAAGGGTGACAAGGTTGCATCCAAGGGTCTGTGTAGTAGGGATGCGGGATGTTGGGCGCCAACGATACAACCCTTCAATGCATCCCAAAGACCCTTCAATGCACCTTTATTGAGAATCAGCGCGTTCAAGGGTCACAAGGTTGCATCCAAGGGTCTTTGTAGGCATGCGGGATGTTGGGCACCCACGAAGCAACCCTTCAATGCATCGAACAGACCCTTCAATGCACCTCGGAGAATCAGCGCATTCAAGGGTCATCAGGTTGCAATTCAAGGGTCGATGCATCACCCGTCAAGCCATTATGACCGCAGTTGGCCAGCCTGTACGCAGGCGCCCGTCCCACTGCAGGAGGACCTGGCGAGAATAATGGTCTACGTACGACTCAAATGCATGAGACTCACCGGCTCGCCTCGGCGCGGGTTTGGAGGAGCCTGCTAGCCGAGAATCGTCCGCTGTCCTGGTCAGAGAAAACATCAACAAGTCTTGACAAAGACGCGCTAGCAAATCGAGCTGCATCTGCTACCTCCCGAAATTTGATTCCCGTGCAGCCAGTCGGTATTGTCATCGTCGGCTACTGTACAAGCTAAGGTTTCAATGGCCCACACAGCGACAGTCGTGCCAGGGAGCGGACAAAGTAAACTAAAAAATCACCAGCTCACAGCTCCAAGCCTGGGAGCCTGGGAGCCTTGGGAGCCTTTGACTCCGGGCGAGAAGTGCCACGATCGCCTGAGACCTCACTGCCGGCTGCCCTTACCACCTCCGGCTTCTGCTTGGCCTTGGGCACAGGGTTGTGCTTCCTCTCGGGCACCTTAGGCTGGCATACGAAAAGTTAGTCAATATGATTATTTTTTTCCCGAAAGCTTCGCGAAGGGTTCTTCCGTGTGGAACGCCGCAGTTGAGTACATAGATGACAGACATAGAATCAACTTACTTGACTCCATACTTTACTCTACACTTGATACTTGACTCTACACTTGATACTTACTTACTTACTTGTGACTTCCTCTGTGACTTACTCTGTGACTTACTCTGTGACTTACTCTTGACTTACTCTGTGACTTACTCTGTGACTTACTCTGTGACTTACTCTTGACTTACTCTGTGACTTACTCTCTGACTTACTTACTCTCTGACTTACTCTCTGACTTACTCTGTACCTCTCTACATACTCTCTACATCTCGTGACTTACTCTTGACTTACTCTGTGATTTACTCTGTGACTTACTCTCTGACTTACTCTCTGACTTACTATCTGACTTACTCTCTACCTCTCTACATACTCTCTACATCTCGGTATCTAAATCTCTCTTCTAAAGCCAGGGGTGGCACCGTCGTCGTCCATCGGGAATGCAACCCTTCCCAAGGATTCGCCTCCTCGAGCGCCCAAACGCTAGGTAAAGTTACACATTTTAGGCGCGCGGCGCAACCCTTCCCAGGGATTCGCCTCCTCGAGCGCCCAAACGCTAGGTAAAGTTACACATTTTAGGCGCCCGGCGCAACCCTTCCCAGGGATTGGAACTCTCGAGCGCCCAAACGCTAGGTAAAGTTACACATTTTAGGGTTCCCGCGCAACCCTTCACAGGGATTCGCCTCCTCGTGCGTTCAAACGCGAGGTAAAGTTACACATTTTAAAGCGCACCCCCGCGCACCACCCTTCTTCCCATGGATCGCTGCCTCGGGCTTTCAAACGCTCGGTAAAGAATGGGACACATTTTAGCGCACCGGCGCAACCCTTCACATGGTTTGAACTCTCCCGTGCGTTCAAACGCTAGGTAAGTTGACACCTTTAGGCCGAACAACCGCGCAACCCTTCCCAGGGCTTCGCCTCCTCGGGCGTTCAAACGCGAGGTAAAGTTTACACTTCTTGCCGGAGTCCGCACAACCCCTCACATGATTTCGCCTCCTCGGGCGTTCAAACGCGAGGTAAAGTTACACATTTTGCGGGCGCCGCGCAACCCTTCACAGGGTTTGGGTGCATTGAGCTGCATTTTGCAACCCTTCACAGGGATTTGCATTTTGCAACCCTTCACAGGGATTGGCATGGTCGAATGCACGAACGCTAGGTAAAGTTGCATTTTTTGATGTGCATTGAGATGAATTTTGCAACCCTTCACAGGGATTGGCGTGGTCGAGTGTTCGAACGCGAGGTAAAGTTGCAATTTTTATGTGCATTGAAATGAATTTTGCAACCCTTCACAGGGATTGGCGTGGTCGAGTGTTCGAACGCGAGGCAAAGTTGCATTTCTTGATGTGCATTGAGATGAATTTTGCAACCCTTCACAGGGATTGGCGTGGTCGAGTGTTCGAACGCGAGGTAAAGTTGCAATTTTTGATGTGCATTGACATGAATTTTGCAACCCTTCACACAGATTGGCGTTGTCGAGTGTTCGAACGCGAGGTAAAATTATTACTTTTGATGTGCATTGAGGTGAAACTTGCAACCCTTCACACAGAGATTGGCGTTGTCGAGTGTTCGAACTAGTACTAGTACTACTACTACCACTACCACTACTACAACTATTATTACTACTACTACCGCTACTACTACCACTACTACAAAGAATACTACTACTACTACTACTACTACTACTACTACTACTACTACTACTACTACTACTACTACTACTACTACTACTACTACTCCACTACTACTACTACTACTACTACTACTACTACTACTACTACTACTACTACTACTACTACTACTACTACTATTAGTACCACAACAACAACTACAACTACAACAACTACTACTACTACTACTACTACGACCACGACTGCGACTACGCGACGACGACTACTACTACAACTACTACGACTACCACTACTATCACTACTACTAGTACTGGTACTGCTAGTACTACTACTGCTACTGCTACTACTACTACTACTACTACTGCTGCGACATAAAGTGACCATGCATAGAGTCATAGAGTCACGTTGAAACCACAGTAATCAGGGATGTCTATATAGTGAGGTTCCGGAGATAGGAAAGGAAGACTTCTGCGTCATGTTGGACTATACTCTAAACCCGCTAAACCTGAACATTAGTGTTCATAGAGTGAACTACATCAAGTCAAGTGCGTGGTACATAGATGACTCCATGACTCTATGACTCTTTCTCACTCTGACGCTATGACTCTATAACACTATGACTCTATGATTCTGTCTCACTGTGACTCTATGACTCTATATGACTCTATGACTCTTTGAACTATGACTTGTGCTGGACATGTACTCGACTCTATTTCTCGATGACTCTATGAACTATGACTTGTACGACTCTTGACTGTATGTGACACTCCGACTCTGTGACTCCGTGCTTTTGACTCGGTGACTCTATGACCCTATACACTGGATTCTATGACGTAGCGTAACACTCTTCGCTGATGATGCTTTCGGGCCAATTGTCTTCTAGTTTAACTTAAATGTTACTGTTGAATATGCCAAGAAACTCCATCAGAATATGAAAACAAACCGGCAGGCACACGGCCACGGGCTTCAATCGCCAACCTGCTCCTCGAAGGGTAGTCCGGGAGAATTGCACGAGGCCCGAATACCCTCCCTGCTTGGCCGACCCCGAATCGCCTCACTGCTTCATCTTTCCCAAGCCCCAACTCGAACGTCTGATCGAGGACCACGGCCAGGCAGTTCCACTCTCCTGCAGTCATCTTCAGCAGCGGTGCGTCAGAGTCAGAGTCGTATGGAGTGGAGCGACAAGTCGAAGCCTGAGCCTCGTCGAGGGGCTTCTGCTGGATGGCCCTTCCATATTTGAATCCAGCCTTCCAGGCCGCCATTCTCACGTCGAAGGTGAGCTTCTCCCTATCCTCTAGGCTGGGGCCCGGCGGCAAGGGCCTTTCAGGCGGAGGGCACTAACAAACCGCAGGATCGAACACTACAGCCTAACCGCCGAATCAAAAATCACTACAGGGGAAGGGATTCTCTGGGCCCTCCTATGCATTGCTCGCCTCCCCAGTCGCCACACCGCCATGTTCACAGTATTTGCGGTCGTCGGCTCCATGGCTAATGGCAGCCTAGGGAGCCTCGATGCCTGGGAGCCTGAATGCATAGGTCCCATGTTTGTGACTCCGGGCATCTGACAGATCTGAGCGGTTGCACTGTGAGTCCCCAAGCTTGCAAGCACTGACTGACTGACGAAGCAACAGATCACTGACAGTCTTTGCCTCATGTTTGCACGGCCACTGCAATGCTGTACATCGAATCACCCGCTAGATTCAGTAGACACGGCGGCCCTCTCCCTAGGGTCTGATCGGATGGTGACTTCGACTGGGTACTCCAAGGTGTGCGGAAGACTGATGACCAGGGACCCACCAGAGGAAGTCGAGGTCGTCGGAGGAGAGGATGCCGTGATCGCCCTGGAGGCCAGTTGGAACGCCTGTACCGGGGTTACCGGGGCAGTGAAGCTGTGAGTCACACCTCCGCTATGTCCACTTCCACCGGGTCCTACAAAAAATGCAGTGGCAGGTGTCGGTGCCGGCGGTCCATGTGGTCCGTCAGAATCTGTGGCGGGTCTGCGAGAGCAACCAGGCGTTGGAGGGGGTGGTCCGCGAGAGACAACAGGCGTTGGAGGTGGTGGTCCCCTCGGAGCGCTGGTGCCACTGCCAGTGCCCGGCGGCCCACCGGTCTCCTCAGCAGTGGATCGAAGGAGGTCTTCGTCGGAGTCATCAGAGGACAGGGTCGGGTGCGGCTTGGCACTGGCTGGCTTGGCACTGGCTGGCTTGGCACTGGCTTTGACCGCTGACCGGCGCGGGGTGCGGGAAGCAGAGCGGTCACGAGGCATTTTCTTGGGCTTGGGCACCATGTTGATCCCTAAAGCCTGGGAGCCTGGGAGCCTATGAGCCTATAATACATGTTAGACTGAGCTTTGACATGTTGCAGCCTGGCAGCCTGGGAGCCTACTATTATATGACATGTTAGACTGGGCTTTGACATGTTGGAGCCTGGCAGCCTGTCGGAGCCTTGGAGCCACTACCTAGTCTGACCTAGTCGTGATGCATCCACTTTCCAGGAAAGCGGGGCTCGTCAGAACAGCTAATGTCTGCAGCACAGCAAGGTATCGCTTGAGTGAATGTGCAGTCCCATGCATGCAGGTCTACAGCGGCAGTTAAGATCAATCGGAAGCATGCAGCCCCACCTCTGCGGCGAGATCCGTCGAAGGCGGAGCCACCATCGCCTCACATCGGGAACACCCGGCAGAATTACTGCATGTGTGAGTGCCCAGCAGCACCTGTGCACTGACATTCGCCGAAGGAGGCACAACCTGGCTCCGGGTAAGGGCCATGCACAAATCACAGCTATATAGAGTGTCCAACAAATCGCAAGTCGCAGGCCTGTGCATGGACATTCGTGGAAGGCACCACCATCGCCTCGACACGGGAATGACCATGCACGAATGACAGTGCCCATATAATATATATATATATATATAATATATAATATATATATATATATATATATATGTATATACTGCACAATAAATCGCAGACCTGTGCAGGTGCATCCGGAGAAGGCTCCACCATAGCCTCCAAGCAGGCAGGATCGGCCATACAATGGCAGTGCCCTTTATATTTCTAACATATATATATATATATATTAATATATATATATATATATATATATATATATTATATAATTTAATTAATTTATTATATATATATAATTATAATATTATATATATATATATATAATTATATATTAAATTAAAATTTAATATACTGCACAAGTCGCGGGTCGGCCTTTTCAGGGACACCCAGACGTGGATCCAGCATGGCCTGGATGTCGCGACGA